AGCTCTGGGCCCCTCACTACAAGAGAGACATTGAGGTGCTGGAGCGGGGCCAGAGAAGGGCACTGGAGCTGGTGCAGGGCCTGGAGCACAAGTGTGATGGGGAATGGCTGAGGGACCTGGGGGGTTCAGTGTGGAGAAGAGAAGGCTCGGGGGGGGGACCTGATCGCTCCCTACAACTGCCTGAGAGGAGGATGGAGCCAGGAGGGTCTGGGCTCTGCTCCCAAGGAACAAGGGATGGGACAAGAGGAACCGGCCTCAAGCTGCACCAGGGCAGGTTTAGATGGAGCTGAGGAACAATTCCTTGCCCAGAGGGTGCTCAGGCATTGGAACAGGCTGCCCAGGGCAGGGCTGCAGTCACCGTCCCTGCAAGTGTTCACACACCGTGGAGACGAGGCCTCAGTGCCATGGGTCAGTGGTGGCCTTGGCAGTGCTGGGCAGTGGTTGGACTGGATGAGCTTAAAGGTCTTTTCCACCCTAAATGACTCTGTGACTCTAAGAAGGACACAGCAGCTGGATGTTTAATCATGGGAAAGAGAATAAGGAAAATCAGACTTGGTCAACTTGAGCATGTACAAAACAGCAGCATGAAATGGGCAGTCTCATTGAGAGCAACCCAAAGTTGAAGGATGAAAGAGAAAGTGCCCAGATCTCAACCTACAGCCTTTAATCACTCCAGGCCCTCCCTCTGTACTGTTTTTAGCACCAGCTCCTCTGATGCTCCCATTGCTCTCGGCCCCGCATTGGCTCCGGAGCTCCAACAACCACAACGCTGGGTTTAAACATTTTTATAGCATTCCTCTACCTCCCTTTTCATTAAAAGTTTGTCTTCCTGTGTCCACCCTGGGGGGGAGGGTGGGGAAAAGACAACCCTCAACCTTGTGTAGTCAAGGTTATGGCGATAAATTCTGTAGCATTGTCACTTCTATTCGGAGTAAATTGGCTGGCCGCTTTCGGGCTGAAGGGAAGATAATTTGCTGTAGTATTTCAAATGGATTAGAAATGGATTTGAAGGGAAAGTTCATGCCTCCCATTACAAAGGCTAGAAAGAAGACTATCTTAAGGCACTGTTCACACTCTGGCCTTCATTATCCACGCTTAATACCTTTCCTATTTTCCAACATTAATGAAATTTCCTGCCGGAGCGGGGCTTCTGGATGGACGGGAGGACTCTTTAGATCCGCGGGCTTGTGCGGCAGAAAGGGAATTACAAGCCCCTCGTGTCGAGGGGCCGGTGTATTCTTCAGGGCCTTGGCCTGGCTATTATCTCATTAATTTTAGCCTCTTTTTCTCAATACAGTTCATTTCCAAAGGCCGTCCTTTCCATTAGGGTAAGCATTCAAGAGAGAGCAGTGACACCGCGGCCGATGAAAAGCCACTGTGGCTTCAGAGCGGTTCCTTGCCCTCCATTAGAGTCATCCTTCTCTTCATCCCTATGCTGGTGGCTTTTCCCTATGGACATTGGGTTGGATGGCACTAACGGGGAGGGGACACAGAGCTGAGGTTGTGTTGGGGCTATGGAATGGTTGGAGCAATAAGTTGGCTTAACGGGAAGATAGAGGCTTCCTACAGGTGAAGGTTGGTCAATTAGGTTTTCCCCCATCTCTTCAGTATGGGTTCATGTTCCACTGTGATTTATGATATAAAACATATTTTACCTTCAATTTTAAATATCTTACAGAGTCAGAATCATAGAACAGTCTGGGTTGAAGGGACCTTCAGAGGTCATCTAGTCCAACCAGCCTGCAGTGAGCAGGGACATCTTCCACTAGATCAGGTTGCCCAGAACCTGATGTGGGTTCATGTTCCACTGTGAGTTTCTGATGTAAAACATATTTTACCTTCAATTTGGAATATCTTTATAGAACAATTGAATAGTTTGGTGGGAAGGGACCTTCAGAGGTCATCTAGTCCAACCCACCCTGCAGTGAGCAGGGACATCTTCCACTAGATCAGGTTGTTGATCCACATCCTTGAAGGAATCCAGGGATGGGGCATCTGCCACCCCTTTGGGCAACCTGTGCCAGGTTAAAGGGAATAAATCCGGCTACAAATAATGAAGCCCCCTGAGAAGGTATTGAAGTTGGGCTGTTGGGGCCCTTCAGAGCCCTCAGAGGATATAATCCCCATTAAGGCTAACTTTTTGGATAGGAGGGTTTCCAGTTGAGGAGCTGGGCTGGTGCAAAGCCTCAGTGGAGGATGAGAGGTCCTCAGGATATCCCTGTTTGGATGCTTCCACCACCCAGAAGGTAGAAATGGAGATGGTGAGGCTGAGCCCTTGGTTGAGTCTTCAGTCCGGTGGCACATGGGGCTTTGAGAACCTGGGTAGATGTACTGCAGAAGCATTCTACCTCAGAAATGCAACAGCCACGTATTGGAGGAGGTTCAGCTCCACTCTCTTTGTGGAATGAGATGCTTTTTGATGCTTTCCACCAAAATCCTTGAAAAATCCCAACAGGAACATCCCTAACAACCAATACAGGACCCCTGATCCCTTACACTTAGGGCTTGACCCCTACTAAGGACTGCCGGAGAGCAGAGCTGCCACTGCACACATCTCTGCTCCGCTCCTCTTACACTACCTTTTCACTTTATAAAAGGCTAAAGTGTTTTCTACTCTGTAGCTGTTGCTGTTTGCTCAGCAACTGCTCCCTGCTTGCTCCCTGCTCACATCCCAGGGGTCAGATGCCACCAGGTAATAACTCTTGATAAATGGTGACTCTTGAACAAGGAGTGCCGGAGTGTGCAGCCGCTTCAGTGCCTTGAGGGAGTGCAGCAAAGCAGGGAAATAAATAGCCTGAGGAGTGGAGGGATTCATCCAGCTGGGTCTTAAGCTGGTGCTTAAACCAGTGCTGGTTGGGCTCAGCAGCATGAGCAGCCCCCAGGGCTGTGCACACCTTGGGATTGGTTGGATTTTCATGGAAGCACAGAATCACGGAATGGTTTGGGATGGAAGGGACTTTAAAGCTCATCCAGCTCCACCCCCTGCTACAGGCAGGGACACCTTCCACTGGAGCAGGGTGTTCCAAGCCCCTGTATCCAACCTGGCCGTGAACACTGCCAGGGATGGGGCAGCCACAGCTTCTCTGGGCACCATGTGCCAGCGCCTCAGCACCCTCCCAGGGAAGAGCTTCTGCCTAAGAGCTCAGCTCAGTCTCCCCTCTGGCAGATTAAAGCCATTCCCCTTGGCCTGTCCCTACAGGCCCTTGTCCCAAGCCCCTCTCCAGGTTTCCTGTAGCCCCTTTAGGCACTGGAGCTGCTCTAAGGTCTCCCCTTCTCTTGTCCAGGCTGCCCCAGCCCAGCTCTCTCAGCCTGGCTCCAGAGCAGAGCTGCTCCAGCCCTCGCAGCATCTCCGTGGCCTCCTCTGGTCTCACTCCAACAGCTCCACGTCCCTCTGGTGCTGCCCCAGGCCTGGATCAGGGCTGCAGGGGGGTTCTCTCCAGAGTGCAGTAGATGGGGAGAATCCCCTCCCTCAACCTGCTGACCATTAGATACTTGATGCGATTTTTTTTCAGGGCATTATGGCCCTAAGACTTTCCTCCAGGTCCTGTCACCAATGATGGTGGCAATCTTGGACTGCAGAAACTTGCTGTGACCTGCTGGCTGCTCCATGGAGGGCCCTAACGTCCCTCCTTTCATCACTCACTTCCCACCGTGATGCCACCGCCGTAGCTCTTTACAAGTGACCTGGTTGTGTAAGATTAAGACTTGATGCTTCTCTCTGGAGCAGTTCCTCAGGACCAAACCCTGGGGATACTGGAACCTGGGCAGCATCTTTATACAACGCCATCCCCTCCTCACAAACCAGGCAGCAGTTCAAGCTCGGTAGCCAGTGGCAACAGCCCGATGAAATGAAGAGCCTGTCAGGCTCAGCATTAAGAAATGTAACTATTCCATTTTCCAGTTCTCCTTGTTTCCCTTTGCAGCACATGTTCATTTACAGGGAATGCTCTCCAGGGTTTGCATTCTGCTGATAGGATAGTGGGATCTTCATTTACAGATAGGCTGCAGTAATGCGGGGTTTATGTACGTTCTGCTAATAGCATTATGAGCCTTAGTTTGGACTAATGCAAAATTAGAGCTCTCATTTGCATAAACAAATTACTGTTTGGATTAGCCCTAAATGAGGGAGACGACTGATAGTGGAGATGTGATTTTGGCTGTTTGGATAACGGCGTGTGGACTGAATGAGCTGCCTGCATCCGCGCTGCTTGGGAAGGAGGTGGGATGGTGCAGGAGGTACCAGGTCATGAACCAGAGGGGGTTTTGGTGACAGATCATGGAATCAACCAGGTTGGAAAAGCCCTTTAAGCTCATCCAGTCCAACCATTCCCCAGCACTGCCAAGGCCACCACTAACCCATGGCACTGAGGCCTCGTCTCCACGCTGTGTGAACGCTTGCAGGGACGGTGACTGCAGCCCTGCCCTGGGCAGCCTGTTCCAATGCCTGAGCACCCTTTGGGGAAGGGATTGTTCCTCAGCTCCATCTAAACCTGCCCTGGGGCAGCTTGAGGTCATTTTCTTCTTGTCTTATCCCGACTCATTGCTGTCCCGCTGTCCCTCTGCCTTGTGCAGGGTCTGTGGGTCTAGTGGAAAGATGGGGAGATGGCTTTAACCTGCCAGAGGGGAGACTGAGATGAGCTCTTAGGCAGAAATTCTTCCCTGTGAGGGTGCTGAGGTGCTGGCAGAGGGTGCCCAAAGAAGCTGTGGCTGCCCCATCCCTGGCAGTGTTCAAGGCCAGGTTGGACACAGGGGCTTGGAGCACCCTGCTCTAGTGGAAGGTGTCCCTGCCCGTGGCAGGGGTTGGAACTGAGTGAGATTTAAGCTGCCTTTCAACGCAAACCATTCTATGAAATCATTAGGAATTAGAACTTCTGTCTACAGCAAGAGCATCCCTGGTTTCTCCTTGCATCACCTCCATCCTCCGGCAGCTGATGGTTTGTTCCCAAATCCACAATATCTTCCCTCATTTGAGCTTACCCTGGCTTTATCTTTTCTTGCAGATCCCCACTATCAGTCCAAGCTCGCCCGTCATCTCATGGAGGCAAGTCCCAGCACGTGCAGCAGAGATGGAGGAGCAAAGGCTACCGCTGCATCGGCGGTGTGATGTACCGCGTGTCGGCCAATAAGCTCTCCAAGACTTCCAGCACCCCCATCCGAGGCAGAGACCTGAGCACCAAGAGCCCTGGTAGAGCAGGTGAGCAGCAAAGGTTTGTCCCTGTCTGTGTCCAGAATCCACTGATGTTCAGTGTTGAGGATGGATTTTAGCTGCTTATTCCCACCCCATGTGTTTTGGCTCATCCTGTGGCCCCACAAGAGCTCAGATGCAGAGGTGATGGGCATCCCCTTTGTGCCAAAGCACATCCCTGAACTCTTCTTGCTCTACGGTAGCTCTGAAGGGAAAATAACATAGAAGAAGTGAAAGATTAAAGAAAATTGAGGTTTTTCTTAACTGAGGCTTAGTTAAGAGATGCACCATTAAACTTGTTTCTTGTTTTAACCTGAGCAAAGCCTCCTAATGCCACCGCAAGGTTAAACCTATTTGAGATGCTCGACAAATTATGTTCAATATTGACCTAAGAAAAGCTGGGAGGATCATTCTGCAGATGTCTGTGAACAGGCATTCCAACACGGTTGCTGCCTTTACATTTAGCTTCAATTCAGTTCCTCTTTCAGCTCCTCTTGTACTTGATGCGTCAAGTGTGGCTCTGTGGCAAGAGCAGGCTTTTAACTGTGCTTATGGTATTCCATGGAGTTTTTACTTGGGGTCGCATATTTTTGCTCCTGAACTGCTTTGTTGACTAGATTTGGGGACAATTAAGCTGGGAAAGGTAAAGCTGATGGGTTTATGTCATTGTTTTTCTTTGCTGGAAGGATGAAGGGTGCAGAGATGAGTCTGATCATGGATGATGCTCTAAATGAGGCAATTTAATGCTGAAGTTGTTCAGTGTATGGTGGGAAGGTGGATGAAGAGACACAATAAATAGTGTTATTGAGAGGTCAACCTTGTTTCAGCCTCTGAAACTGCCTGCAGAGTGTTACAGGATATCCTGGGTAGTTTTAAACTCACAAAGAGCAGGATTAGGAAGGGAAAGAGCTTTGTGCAGGTCAGGAGAGCTGGGTGGCTCCAGGAAGTTTGAAACGTATGAGGAAAACCAGTAGCAAACAGCAACATCTGAATGAAGAGTGAAATAAAGAGTTCTCTTCATCAGGGGCTGTAGCGATAGTGATGGGTTCAAACTGAAACGGGAGATTTAGGTTAGATACAAGACAGAAGCTCTTCCCTGTGAGGGTGTTGAGGTGCTGGCACAGGGTGCCCAGAGAAGCTGTGGCTGCCCCATCCCTGGCAGTGTTCAAGGCCAGGTTGGACACAGGGGCTTGGAGGAAGCTGTTCTAGTGGAAGGTGTCCCTGCCTGTGGCAGGGGTTGGAACTGAATGATCTTGAGGTCATTTCCAACCCCAAAAATTCCATGATTCTAAATAACTTCCCCCTGATGCTCACATAGAATCATAGGATAGTTAGGGTTGGAAAGGACCTTAAGATCATCCTGATCCAACCCCCCTGCCATCGGCAGGGACACCTCACACTAGAGCATGTCACCCAAGGCTCTGTCCAGCCTGGCCTTGAACACTGCCAGGGATGGAGCATTCATAACCTCCCTGGGCAACCCATTCCAGTGCACTCACAATGGAAGTTGTAAGTGGTGCTGGAGAGAAAATGGCAGGATTGGGACAGCCAGTGAGGATAAATCCTTCCTGCACATCATTGCTGGCAGGGAGGAGGGCAGAGATGTAGTTTAAACCATGGATTAGCTGCCCCAGCCACCTGGGGCTGGATGAAGACAACAGCAGATGATGGCAGAGATGAGGATGCTGCGGTGGCCGAGGGGGCACAGAGCTGATGGAGCATCAATTTCAGGTGATCACCCTTCTGAGAGCATTTAAGGGATGCTCAGCAGCAGTTTGGGGACAGTTTGCTGGTGGTTTTGCAACTCAGCTCTGCTCAGGACAGATTTTCAGTGCCTGACTAACCTGCAGCATCCTCCTTACTGCTGGCTCTGCAAATAGGTATAGGCATGGTCATGAGTGTGCATCCATATGGCTTGTTTCGATGTCTGTGACCCTACCTGCGAGCTGTTAAATCCTTGGCTTTGGTGCTGTGTCTGGAGGAGGATGCGCAAGGATCAGCCTTTGGAAACATGGAAAATAAAGCCATAAAGTGAGCTCAGGGGGTTGTAGACCAAGCAAATCCTGGTGTCAGCAATGCTGGACTTGTCCAAGAGCTTTCCTAACATCAGTGGGATTTTCCAAAATGACTGGATCAGGATAATCAGCTACACAAACTCAACCTGAGGGGGATTCTGCCATAAGCACCATGCCCCAGCATTGAAGCTGTCACCAACAGCAGCAAACATCTTGCTGGCGTGCAATAAAAGGGGTGAAACCCCCAGGATGTGGACAGGAATGATTTTAGATGGAGCAGCTCTGGTTTTGGGGCAGGTTTCAGGACAATGTTGCATCACTGGGAGGAGCCCAGGGGAGAAGTGATGGCTGGAAGAGTGGAAGGCCTGGGTCCGTGCAATCTGAAGAGGAGGAGACAGAGGGGCTTCATGTCTCCAGGGTCATGAAGAGCTGCTGAGCAGAGGATGTCTTCTCCATGGCCAGGTGGAGCAGCCAAAACCCACAGGGCTTCAACAGTTGCAGGAAGGGTTCACAGAATCATAGAATAGTTTGGGTTGGAAGGGACCTTAAAGATCATGTAGTCCAATGTGGCAGGGACACCTTCCACTAGACAAGGTTCCTCAAAGCTCCATCCAACCTGACCTTGAACATGGCCAGGGATAGAACACCTACAGCTTCCTTGGGCAGCCTGTTCCAGTGTTCACCACTCTCACAGGGAAGAACTTCTTCCTTATATCCAGCCTGAACCTCCTCTGATTCAGTTTGAACCCATCACCCCTTGTCCTGTTGCTACAGTCCCTGATGAAGAGTCCCTCTCCGGCATCCTTATAGCCCCCTTCAGACACTGGAAGCTGCTCTGTCGTCTCCACGCAGCTTCTCTTCTCCAGGCTGAACAGCCCCAGTGTTCTCAGCCTGGCTCCATAGGTCTTATTTTGCTGTACTCTCCTTCCCCTGCCACGCAGTACGTTGGGTTTGTAACCTTAACACCCGAGTAGCTGGCGTGTGTCAGTATTCTTATGTCACCTTTCAGCTCTAGCCATAACTCGTCCATCCTCCAAGGATGGAGTCAACAGATACCACTGTCTCTTGCTTTATGATAACTAGGTCTGGTCTATCAGCTCTACCCATAACTCATCCACCTTCACAAGGATGGATTCCACAGATATCACTGTCTCTTGCCTTACAATAACTGGGGCTGGCAGGGTGGAAGATTTGTGTGTGCTCATCGCCTCTGGACCTTCACGCATTTATTCAACGCTCAGTGTTTGCAGCACTTGACAAAGTTTATCTAAAGACCAAACCAGCAGCTTTTCCTTTCCCTTCGAGTGCCAGACCCTGTGTTTGGGGGAGCAGAGAGATGGGAAGCGCTCCTGACAGTTTAATAGCATGGTGTTCCTTACAGTGAGTTATAATTCTGCTCTTTGCCTGAATTTATTGGGTCAGTGTTTTGTCTCTTCATCGCCTGACTACACCAAGAAATGTGATGCTGGTTGTGCCTGGATCCATCAAATGGGCTGATCCATCCACGCTGTTGCTCTGTCTCCAACAAGTGATTTACTGATGGATGTTGGTGGGGAGTTAAAACTTGGTCTTGGGGATGCAGCTCCTGCAGCCATGTGCTCTGTCAGAGTCAATTGGAGTCAATCGGAGTCAATCCTGGGACTTCCAGGAGTGATAAAGGAACTCATCCATCTCCCAGAGCAAGAAGAGCAGGAGTTTTGCCATGGCTCATCCTCAACCCACTTTATTGCTGGTGGCATGGAGGACGCCTGGCTGGGGACAGGGAAAGCATCATTGCAGACCCAGGATAAGCTTCTGAAGGTGGTTTTGGTATAAAGAAGCTCTCTGAAGAGGTTCATGGGGAATAAAGTGGCTGCTGCATTGCTGGCAGGTTGGACAGGGCTTGGAACAAGCTGTTCTAGTGGAAGGGGTCCCTGCTCGTGGCAGGGGTTTTGCACTGGATGAGCTTTAAGGTTCTTTCCAACCCAAACCATCCTGGCAATCTGTGATTCTGTAGCTCCGCACTCGAGCAAGGATGGAAAAGGCTCAGAAGAAAACACGTAGCTCCAAACACAGAGCTCAGAAATCCGCTTCTCATCCCTGTGCAGGATGAAGATGCAGGATCAACATGGAAAAGCTCTTTCCCTTTGGGATAACTGGTATTTCTGCAATGATATATTTCTCCGTTATTAGCAAATAGGTGTGGAAAGCATTTGATACGTTGCAATTAATTAAGCAGGCGGAATAAATTGCTTTCTCCACTCACAATGAGCATTTGCCTCATTTCTTGCTACAGCTGCTAAGACGTGCGTCAGACTCTTGAGGAATTGCCGTGAAATTGGGGGAAGAAGCAGAAGGTCCTGACAATGTAGTGCTTCACAAAGGAATTCCAAAGGGGAACTGAAACAGCACAGCCCTGTGCAAGACTGAAAGCAGCAGAAACCAAATTAAGGGTTGACATTGGCTAGGAAAAGAGCCTTGACCCTAATCAAGGCACCAGCCACCACTGCTGCAGTGAGAGGTGTTGCACACCCTGAGCTGGGGCTGGCTCCAAGGGTGTTTTGACAGTCTTCAGGCTGATCTCCGTGGACGAATCCTCTCCTGCACTTCCTCATCCTCCAGTGAGGTTTTACCTGCTGGGAGCATGCAGGAGCCTGGTGGGATGAAAGGCTGGTGGCTCTGGAGACACTGATGTGGCTGGGCTTCACCCGCTGGGATGCTGGGGACTGGAGTGGTAGGACAAGGGGTGATGGGTTCAAAGTGAAACAGGGGAAGTTCAGGTTGGATATAAGGAAGAAGTTCTTTACTGTGAGGGTGCTGAGGCGCTGGCACAGGGTGCCCAGAGAAGCTGTGGCTGCCCCATCCCTGGCAGTGTTCAAGGCCAGGTTGGGCACAGGGGCTTGGAGCACCCTGCTCTAGTGGAAGGTGTCCGTGCCCATGGCAGGGGTTGGAACTGAACGAGCTTTAAGGTCCCTTCCAACCCAAACCATTCCAGGATCCTATGATTTCAAATGC